GGGGGGAAAATTCAGTCTTTTCGGATTCTGGTATAATAAAGCTGAATTTTTCGGTATTCCTGAAAATTTTCGGCTCCATTATATCCTATGGGGCCATTGTAGTCAATGGCAAAAATCTTCTAACCAGGGGGCTGGGGGGGGGGAAGGGGGTTTGAGGTAGAGGCACCAAATTTGTACTGTAGCTTGTGGAGCCTCTCCCCAAAAGAACCCCAAGTTTGGAAAAGGTTGGACCAGGGGCCCTAATTCTAGGGGCATCCAAAGAAGGTGCCCCCAATCCTCCATTGTTTCCTATGGAAGGGGGAAAAGGCAGGCAGCAGTGTCTCCCGAGAACCTCTGCACTAGAAAGTAAGTGAGGTGTGGTGGAGTGAGAAGGCATGTTTGCAAGGCCAGCAGCAGAACCAGTGCAATGTGCCCACCAGAACCAGTGCCACTGTAGCAGTCAGTGCCCAAACCCAACAGGACTCAGGTCAATCTGAGGATATCTGCAGTATAAAAGGGCAGGAAAGAGACAAAAACAGCAGGGAAAAGAAGGTAAGTGGAGCCCTTTAAAGTTTAAAGCCTCCCAGAGCCTGAAAAAGCCGAAAAACCCCAAATATTTTCGGGGGGGTTCGGCATTCAGTATTCGGCAGCCAAATCAGATCAGGGAATCTGATTCAGTATGCCGAATACCAAAAGAAATGCTGAAAAGGCATTTTTCGGGGTTTTTTTTGTTGTTGTTTGGCTTTACCCAATGCACACCCCTACTTTCAAGCAAGGGGAACTTTTACCTTTCTAACTCTACTTAAGATGGCACTGTAACTCTCCCAGCAGGATTCCTTCTTATGTGATAGGGCAAGGCTCATGCTTTAATCGCAGTGATTTTTGCTCAATCCAGTGAATCAGATGTGAAATTCACTTTCTTATTACTGTGGATTTAACACAGGAGTCCCACAAAAATGCTGTTGTCTACTCTAAGCAGCTGCTGTTCTCCACGGCCTCAGGTGGAGGTCTTTCACACTATCTCCTACTTGATCCTTTTAAATGGAGATGCTGGGGAGGGGGTGTTGAACCTGGAACCTTTATAAAATTTTTGTAGATGGTTCCATCAGCATACCATTAGCACTTTGCAGAGTTTCCGAATTACTTATAAATGACTAATGAAGTTTCCCATAACAGGGCGAGTATCTTTTGTTAAAAGACCGAATGCATCTTCTGACACCTGAAAGACTAAACACATTTATCATATGGCATAAGCTTTTGTGAACCAGGGCTCACTTTGTGAGGCTCTTAACAAAGCAGGCTGCTGCTCACAAAAGCTGATGCTGTAATAAATGTGTTTAGTCTTTAAGGTGCTACAAAAGTCTCTTATTATTTTGGCTGCAGCAGACTAACATCCCTCTAGAATTTATCTTTTCATTAGAGAGGCTGGTGCATGTTTTGTAGCTTACAGCTAAGTTTCTTCTTTTTTCTTTTGTTTTTGTGTCTAAAGAATCGGGCTCGAGGGTTAAAAAATCTGGCACACCTAGTGCATTTACAAGCTCAGCATATTAATTCCCATCTTAACATTCTTTTTAAAGCAACGTTTGCATGCTTGTCATTTTTTTGTTGCGTTTGCTCAAGGCCAATAAAACCCATCTCTGGCCAGTTGCAAAGCTTGTCCATCCCACAGTGACCCATTTGATCATGGGTTCCTCCATGGCCTCTTCTTGCTGGTGTAAAGCTTCTGTAGCTGCTTTATCAGTTTTTGTCATGATAACGTTTGTCACAGTTTTGCAATCCGAAGGGCTAATGCCTAGAAACTAGAATTTTTCTTCTAAATTGTGCATTCTCAAGCCCTGAACAAAACCGTTGGCTCAGTAGGTTTTCCTTAGATTCCACAATACACCATAGTTAATTTAAACTATGGCTTGTGCCACAAATTCTGATTAATCTACCAGAAACCCAGGTTTGTCCCTCAGCCCTGCTCCTTTTCTCTTCTCTTTCCTGGGAGGAAGGATATCCACTCTGTCCTTGTCATGGACTCCTCATTGTTGGGCAAAGAGGCCAAAGACTCAGATGAGGAGGCAGCTGAGCACCTGAAACCGTCACACAATGAACTAGTCGAGATACCTCCAGGAGCCCCCACTGATGTACATAAGGACCCCCAGGAGTCAACCTTTCCCCCTTAGATACAGGCCTGCCTTCTGATTCAGACTCTTAGCCTTCCACCCCAGAGCCTGCTGCAACACCTGAGATCTCTCCCCAGCTCAAGCCCCATAAAGGCCTTCAGGCCCTAAGAACCACACCAACCCTGTCAGAGTGCCATACCCAGGTGCAGTACCTTTAAGAACTATTAGCCTGCTCTTGGAGGGGGACATGGCTTGTCTCTCCATCTCCTTGTGAGAGTATTGAAGGCTTTAGTACAGCCTCAGATTTTTCTGTAAGAACATAGGTTATATAGTAACTGTTGGTTTCAGCCCCAATAACCTGACTTTGGGCCTCATTCTCAAGTGGGACAGTTCTGCGGTCAAGCAGTCTGGTCACAAGGGACAGTGAACCTCAGCAAACCATGGTAGGTGAGGGCAGGCTCCATAACAAACTACAATCAGTATAAATTGTGCTTAATAGGTCCTACTTTGGAGTCCTGCTTCAGTGCCAACCAACCCCAGTCCCGTTTGTTTGGACTGTTTGAATTCGGGCATCATAACTAACTGGGACTTGATCAAAACTGTGGTTTGGAAACAATACGCTTATTGTGATAACTGAAGTCAGCCATTGTTTGTGAATTTGGTGGTTGCATTCCCTGATTCTTGTTTCACACAGTGCTCATGGTGAATTTTTTGCTGCACAAACTGGGCTTGGACAGTTGCTTTGCTGACTCTTCTATTCTTGGTGTTCTGCTCTTGAGAATAGTGTTGAGCTCCAGAAAGGAAAAAAAAAAAGACATTTTTGACAATACCTTCAGCTTGTTTTATGCCCTCTTCATCTTGCGCTGGACTGCCACTGTGTATCCTTGAGAAGGCATCTGCAGTTCTGTTGGCTTTGCCAAATCTATAAACAATATCAAAGTTACATAAGGACAAATTTGTCTGCTGTTTACACAGTCCAAATAGGTCACCCGCTACGGAATATTAATAAAAAGACCCAGATGAGACATTGCTTTACGTAAATGCTGGAGTATGAAGTCGAGGGTCTAGAAACTGTGAGTACATCTGGCACAGTTGCACTCAGATTCAGATAGGATACAGAGCGGTTGAGAGCCTGTGAAGTAAAGGACTGGGGAGACCTTGATCCAAGTCCCCACTTAGCTATAGAGACTCATTGGGTGACCTTGAGCTAGTCACACTCTCTCTGCCTGTCCCAGGGGTCCTCAAAATGGTGACTGGCAAGTGTTTTTAGGAAGTGGGTGGGGCTAGGTGGCACTTTTGCCCAGCAGCCCTTCTGATTGGCCATTGGAGATTTGATTGGCTGTGCAGGCTTTTTTAAAAAAACTTGTTTTGGCAGCAACTGCCACCAGAGCACGAGGATCTTCACTGTGACTGAAGGTAAGCCACAGCAGCCATTTTATGACTGGCCCACCTTCCGTGGCAGCCATTTTGTGGCTGCACCCACCATGCTATGTCAGAGTTCCAAAGGTCCCCACGGGCTCAAAAAGACTGGAGACCCCTGGCCTATCCTAACCCTTGCGGTGGTTGTTTGGATAAGATAAAATGGAGAAGACAAGAATACGGTATGTGGCCATGAATTCCTCGGAGGAAAGGGGAGAGAAAAATGTAGCGGTCAGAATTGTCTTCCTTGAATGATCAGCGATGGCACAAGTGTAAGGGACTGGGACCCAGATTTTCGTTCTGTTAATGGTTGAGCCTTCTGCCATGCAAAGAGCCTTCCTCTTAGTGGAACAGAGCTCTTCTGTCAGAGCAAGGTCACATGCACTGGTGGACATTCCTTGTGTCAGAGGAGGCCTCCACATTTGTGGGGCAGAGGCTGTGCATTTGCTGCTCCTGATGCTGCCTTACTCTGGATGGTGTGGTGATTAGAGTGTCAGACTAGGTCCTGAGAGAGATCTGGGTTCAAATCCCCACTGTGAAATGAAGCTCACTTGATGACAGACCCGTAACGATGGGGGGGCACTTTTGAGGGTGGTGCCCCCCACAGATGACCCCCCAGCCCTCCCATGGGAGCGTGAGACCCCCCCTCTCTCACCCAACCCCCAGGAGCCCCATCCACAAAAGATATGTGCCTACCTGCCTGCACCTGCTTCTGTTCTTTCGGCTCTTTCTGCCTGTTTCAGCGCCTCTTTCTGCTCGCCACCCACTACCCTGTCTGGGCCGGAGGAAGAAAGTAATTCCTGTGAGGCTGTGATCCTGAGCATGAATTTGGCTTGGAAATAGAAATAGATAAGGGGCTTGCTGGCTCCTGCTGGCTCCCTCCCCCTCCTCCCCCAGTCCCCCACAGGCAGTTGCTGCCCCCCTCTTTGCCCTTCCTGGGGAAATTTTCTGGCTATGACCTTGGGTAAGTCACTCAGACTAACCTTCTCCACAGGGTAGTTGTGAAGACAAGAATTTGTAAGGTGGAGAACCGTGTACACTACTTAGATCTCCCCGAAGTTAGGGTGGGATAAAAATGCATGGGTAAGCTTGTCCATGGGGTTGCGAAGAGTCGGACTAGACTGTGCGACTGAACAACAACAAAAAAATCACTGCAGTGGGAACAAAGCCTACCGACTCTTAACTCCTGAATCCGTCGATGCTCTATACTTGCTGGTCCCTTTTGTATTAGCTTTGGCTCTTGAGTGTAAAAGTAAGTCAGTCTTTTAAGTTGCCCCAGGACTTCAGTTTTTCTGTAATAAATAAATCATCGAGCTAACTGTGCTAGTTTTCCCCTGCCTTGTCAGCAGCAACAAACCTAAAAAGCTGAGTGAGCACCCCCCCTTTTTAAAGCAGCTTCTTACAATTCTGTCTCATCTTATTCCTCAACACCCTTCCCATTTCCCTGTCTCCCTGACCTGAATCTCTGTTCCCCCCCCCTTCCCTTTCTTATAGCAGATGCTGCCCCAGCACCGAGCTGTCACAATGGACGGATCAGCTAGCCAGCTCAGTTTATACACTTCTCCGTCTCTGCCTAACATCTCTCTAGGACTACAGGCTACTGTCACGGTGACAAATTCGCACCTCAACGTGAGTAGTACGTGGCTGACTATGAAACCTCATGCAAAACGTTCCATCAGAAATTAGTGTAGAGGCTCAGACTCTTGTCCCCTGTCCCTGTATGTCTACACACACGCGCGCCCATACCCACAGACCTCTTGCTCAACAATGTGTCTTGCACCAGTGGCCAGGCGGACATGGCAGTGCTACAGTGCCACCCTAAGCGTGGTGGTGCTCTCCTAAACCCGTTGACCTCCATAGCCTTAGAAGGGTGTGACCCTGTTTAGGATGGTACATTAATTCCCTGTTGTTAGTTCTTGGCATATGGTGTTTGCAAGTAAATAGGAATTAACTGTATTCAGCACCCGTTGCTGAACCATCCAGTTTTGCTCAGAGCTCACACTCCTTTTGTGGAGTCCTTAGGCAGGCAACTCACGTAGGCGTCAGCTAGAAACAAGGATGTGTTTTTTCTTTAGAACTCTTTGCTTGGATCCACACTCAATTTGCCACTCAAACAAGGCACTTCTGCAGGCATAACAGAAATTTCCTGCCCCACCCCCCAAACAGCCTGCCGATCTCTCAAAAATGCTGCTCCTAGGGCACAGGGGGACCCTCGGGAAAAGCACGAGAGGCAAGTTGGGGGTCTGCACCCGGAAGAGGGAATTGGCAGGAATTACCCCCACACACACCCCATCCATTAGTAGAACGTTTAGTCCAGACCCACCCCTCCCTCTTTCCCCCCCTCACGTTGCAAATTTAATCCACTGTGATTCACGCAATTAATTTGCAAGAATTTATTTATTGAATTTATAGTCTCCCTTTCTCACGGGAGACGCAAAAGTAGATTCCAGGTTATGGAACTGCAGAGCAGACAGATAGTGTAAGACAGTGAGCGGACAGTGCAGTAGGTGCAGGGTTACAGAATTAGAGCACAGTGTGAACGGCAAACGATCTACGGCAAGGGATGCTACAAACAATGCAGAAGTGGATTACAAAGTATATGACAGTGCAGTAGAAGCAAGCAGTACCCGCGGTAATCGTTGAAGCAGATTACGACCCTGTTCCATTATAAAGCTGCTGTCCTGTCCTGTTCTGTTGTGCCACAGTTCTAGTCTCTTTTTGGAAAAAAATGCCCTCTTGTTGAGAGAGAACCCTAATATTTATTTCTCACCTTCACATCTTGCCCTGAAACTTTGTTTCATATTCATAGAAAGTGCCCATTTTATTCTTGCACAACAACCCAGTGAGGGAGGTTAGGCTGATTTGCTTTGCTGGAGCTTCAGTGTCCCAACAGGGATTTGAACCAAAGTCCGGCTGTCTAAGCACTATGTCACGCTGGCTCTCTCTGACTTGCAGGCTGCCAGTTAGCCATTCCTGCT